ATAAGCAGTGCCCAGTCTCTGTACCCTGGAGCTCAGAATCTAGTGAAATAAGTGGACAATAAACCTATGTCCATGGGAATGACTAAGTACAATGATTTGTGAATACTGAGCAAGGGCACCTGGCCCTGGAATGGGAGTGGGAGTTCAGGGAAAGCTTTTTAGACATGATGACTGAGCATTAAGTAGGTAAAAGAAACAGGAAACTGGGAATGGGCATCCAGGCAAAGTCACAGAAAAGCTGATGAAACAACATGGTCTTAAGTATGGGGAACTATGAGTAGCTCTTGTTGCTGGGATTGTGACTATGAGGAAGGCAATTGTGAGAACAAGGCAAGATGTATTATATCTTGGAGGGCTTTGTAGGTCTTGTTTTGGATAGCCATTGGAGGGTTTCAGGGAAGAGTGAAAAAGATAAGTATGTAGGTAAATGCCAACAGGGTGGATGGGTTTAAGAGAGTCTACCTGCTAAAGGTCAGCTGCCCCTATTAGCAAGGGTCCTAACACAATTAAATAATAGCTTTCCATATGTTTTGAAAGTAGGATGGGGCAGGGCAAATTTCTCATCAGATTCGCAGCTTTGGGCTGCACTTGGCCACTGGTATTACTCTTCTTCCTTTTAGAAGCCAGTACCTTCATGGCTCCATTTTTTGGCTTTTGGCCTCCTGTTTGGTACTCTGTGCTCTAGTCATTTAACAGCTATTTGAACTAGAATCAGTTACCCTGATCTTCAGTTTTTGAATTTATAAATGAAATAACATCTGTTTTATTATCTCCAGCTTTAGAATTATGAATTCACTTAGGTTTAAATCTTGAGAGTCTTCTCTCACATTGTTTTTGTTTCCTATATTTTGGGGATAGTGCTTAACAGTAGTTTTTAAAAACCATATTCCTTTTTTTTTTTTTTCCTTATATACATGTCAGGCAGAGCGCAGTGACTCACGCCTGTAATCCCAACACTTTGGGAGGCCGAGACGAGTGGATCACTGAAGGTCGGGAGTTTGAGACTAGCCTGGCCAACATGGTCAAACTCCATCTCTACTGAAAATACAAAAAATAGCTGGGCGTGGTGGTGAGCGCCTGTAATCTCAGCAATTTGGGAGGCTGAGGCAAGAGAATTGCTTGAACTCAGCAGGCGGAGGTTGTACTGAGCCAAGATCACGCAACTGTACTCCAGCCTGGACGACAGAGTGAGACTTCATCTCAAAAAAAAAAAAAAAAAAAGATACATGTCCATTGTTGGGAATCTGAAAAAATAGAGAAGCAAATGGAAGAATATAAAAACCACCCACAGTCACATTACTCAGAAATAATGACTGCTAACATTTTATTTTGTAGACTTGAATTCGTTGTGTATGCATATACATGCTCTTAAAAATAGAAATTCTCCCTCTAATTTTGTGAAAACATTACATCATCCAGATCAGAGGAAATGGGCCTGGCAAAATATTGATATTTAAGCATTCAAGGATATTCAACATTTCCTATCAAAGTTTTTCTCTATTTTGTTTTTTTTTTTTTTTTTTTTTTTTTTTTTTTTTTGAGATAGGGTCTTGCTCTGTCACCCAGGCTGGAGTGCAATGGTGCAATCTTGGTTCACTGCAACCTCCGCCTCCCAGGTTCAAGCAATTCTGCTTCAGCCTCCCAAGTAGCTGGGACTACAGGTGTGCACCACCATATCCAGCTCCTATTATGTAAGCTATTCTTCCTCTTGTTACTGAATTTTATACTGATGACAAGATAATTGGCCACCTTTTGTCCAGTGGGCCTTTTGCATGTTTCCTGGTGGAAATTTGGGTTTGCCCCTATATGCAGGTTACAAAGGAACTTAGTTTATAAGCTTTGAAAAGTTTTCCATTTAGTACCATTCTGGGGCTTACTCTCTTGTTGAATATCTCTTGATGATAAACATGTCCCTGTACTGTATGCAGTAGTATCATGTATATAGCAGGATCATGTAGTGTTGTGGTTTGTCAACCAGACTGCAGGTTCTTTGAGGCAGGGACTGGGCCTCCACTTAGTATCTAAACTACATGATACAATGGTGAAACCAGAGATGTTAAGCATTTTGTTGGCCAATTAGTTGACTGCATTCATGCTTGCTCTCCTTTCTTCTACATCTAACACCAGGATTACTCAAGTACTTTTGCACCTGGGCATATAGCTAAAATTTATTTCAAGGGGTTCCCCTCCACCACTGCTATGTTAACATTCAGTAAACACTTAATTACAGATTACTATGTACCAGGCACTGTCTGAAATTTTGAGGACACAAAGATGAATAAATCAAGGCTCCTGGCTCAGGGATATCAGAATATAAGTTAAAGCACTGTTGCACATTTTCACAAAATGTTAAAAAAATTTGACCCATCCTGGCTAACACGGTGAAACCCCGTCTCTACTAAAAAAATACAGAAAACTAGCCGGGCGAGGTGGCGGGCGCCTGTAGTCCCAGCTACTCCGGAGGCTGAGGCAGGAGAATGGCGTGAACCCGGGAGGCGGAGCTTGCAGTGAGCTGAGATCCGGCCACTGCACTCCAGCCTGGGCGACAGAGCGAGACTCCGTCTCAAAAAAAAAAAAAAAAAAAAAAAAATTTGAGACCATGGCTGGGCGCGGTGGCGCACATCTGTAATCCCAGCACTTTGGGAGGCCAAGGCGGGTGGATCACCTGAGGTCAGGAGTTCGAAACCAGCCTGGCCAACATGGTGAAACCTTTTCTCTACTAAAAATACAAAAATTAGCCAGGCGTGGTGGCAGGCACCTGTAATCCCAGCTACTCGAGAGGCTGAGGCAGGAGAATTGCTTGAACCTGGGAAGCGGAGGTTGCGGTGAGCTGAGATTGCGCCACTGCACTCCAGCCTGGGCGACAGACAGACTTGTCTCAAAAAAAAAAATAAACGAGACCATGAAACATCAAATAATAGTTTAGATGAAACAAAATTTTTCCTTGAAACTCTGATTAAAAAATGTGCAGTAATCAGAAATACTTTTCCAGCGTTTTCCTTTATCATAAAATGTAATATTTTAAATTGTGTTTTTAAACCCTTGTGATACTAAGTTTTAACAGTTCTCATTGATTGTGCTCTATGTACCCGGCACTGCCAGACCATTTTCTGCCATTATCTTACTTAATTTTCTCAATAGATGAAGTAGGTTTTGTTATCCTCATTTCATACAAGGGAAACTTGGGTTCAGATTAGGTAATGTGTCCAAAAATAACAGAGCAGACTGGGTATGGTGGCTCCTGCCTGTAATCCCAGTACTTTGGGAGGCAGAGGTGGGAAGATCACTTGAGCTCTGGAGTTCAAAACCAGCCTGGGCAACATGGCAAAACTCCATCTCTACAAAAAAAAAAAAAAATTAAAAAATTAGCCAGGCATGGTGGCACATGCCTGTAGTCCCAGCTACTCGGGAGGCTGAGGTGGGAGGATCGTTTGAGTCTGGGAGGTTGAGGCTGCAATGAGCTGTGATCACACCATTGCACTCCACTCAAGCCTGGGCAATAGAAGGAGAACCTGTCTCAAAAAAATGAAATAAAGACTGGGCGCTGTGGCTCATGCCTATAATTCCAGCACTTTGGAAGGCTGAGGCGGGCGGGTGGATCACCTGAAGTCAGGAGTTCGAGACCAGCCTGGCAAAGATGGTGAAACCCCATCTCTACTAAAAATAGAAAAATTAGCTGGGTGTGGTGGCGAAGGCCTGTAATCCCAGCTACTAGGGAGGCTGAAGGATGAGAATCGTGGAGGTTGCAATGAGCTGAGATCGCACCACTTCACTCCGGCTTGAGCAACAGAGCTAGACTCTGTCTCAAAAAAAAAAAAAAAGGCTGATTGTCAATGTCAGGTATTCTATGATTCTAACCCATTTTTGAAATTTATTTTTTCATATATATTATATATATAATATTATATATTTATATATGTATATATAAAGACATAGGGGTTTTGCTATGTCGCCCAGGCTGGTCTTGAAGTCCTGGCTTCTTTGGAGGCTGAGGCAGGAGATTCGCTTGCGCCTGGGAGGCAGAGGTTGCAGTGAGCCCAGGTCGCGCCATGGCACTCTCTAGCCTGGGTGACAGAGAAGGAGACTCTTGTCTCAAACCACAAGACTTCTCTCTCTCCCGCTAGTCTATAAAGCTTCTTGAGGATAAGGCTTTTGTGTCTGCTAGTGAATCCTAGCCCTGTTTGTCCTACCTGACACAGTGAACGCTCATAAAATGTTTGAGTGCACGCATGAATGACCGACTAGAACCGACTGAATTTTTTTTTCCTTCAGGCTCCTGAGTCTGGCCGACACTTTCAGAGTAGACGTTTCCAAGAGATGATTAAGAATACACATCCGCAGGCCGGGCGCGGTGGCTCAAGCCTGTAATCCCAGCACTTTGGGAGGCCGAGGCGGGCGGATCACAAGGTCAGGAGATCGAGACCACAGTGAAACCCCGTCTCTACTAAAAATACAAAAAATTAGCCGGGCGCGGTGGCGGGCGCCTGTAGTCCCAGCTACTCAGGAGGCTGAGGCAGGAGAATGGCGGGAACCCGGGAGGCGGAGCTTGCAGTGAGCCGAGATCACGCCACTGCACTCCAGCCTGGGCAACAGCGTGAGACTCCGTCTCAAAAAAAAAAAAAAAAGAATACACATCCGCGCCGGGCGCGGTGGCTCACGCCTGTAATCCCAGCACTTTGGGAGGCAGAGGCGGGCGGATCACAAGGTCAGGAGATCGAGACCACGGTGAAACCCCGTCTCTACTAAAAATACAAAAAAAATTAGCCGGGCGCGGTTGTGGGCGCCTGTAGTCCCAGCTACTCGGGAGGCTGAGGCAGGAGAATGGCGTGAACCCGGGAGGCGGAGCTTGCAGTGAGCCGAGATCGCGCCACTGCACTCCAGCCTGGGCGACAGAGCGAGACTCCGTCTCAAAAAAAAAAAAAAAAAAAAATACACATCCGCGAGTCTGCACGTGCAAACTCGAACAATATAACATAAAGCACTGAAGATGCTCCACTCAAAAGCAACTAGAAGCCTTCATTTTTCAGGCTGGGGCTAGGGAAAATCTGGCCAGTGTTGGAGAATACAAAGCTAACCTTTGTAATTCCTTGCGGTTTTACCGTTCCATAGGTGCCTTCTAGACCAAAGGCCGCCAGTGGTCAGTCAATGCACTAAATTTAGCCACAGTCACAGGCCGTTGCTTTGAATTTACTTCGCGGAGAGCAGTCTTTCCTGTGCTTCCTGCTTTCCCCGGAAGTGCCTTGCTACGGGAAGTGACGAGAGCCGGGTGGACAGAGGGGGGGGAACTACCTCTTCCTCTCCACGCGGTTGAGAAGACTGGTTGACCTGGGCAGCCTGCGCTGAAGATGCCGGGAAAACTCCGTAGTGACGCTGGTTTGGAATCAGACACCGCAATGAAAAAAGGGGAGACACTGCGAAAACAAACCGAGAAGGTGAAACGGAGGGACCTGGGGCCAGGAGGGACGCTGAGTGGAGCGGAACCCCGGGGTGCGGGAGAGGTGCCCGGGCTGGGATCGTGAGAGCGCGCGGCGGGTAACAGCGCGTCCAGAGACCCGGCGTGGGTCTTGACGGGCGGTCGTCCAGCAGTGGTGCGCTCCCAGGCAGTGGATGCGTCTGCCCGACCAAGCCGGGGCCGCCGCGCGCTGACCTCTTCCTCTGAGATTAGAGGCATCCACATTGTTCCAGGAACTCTGGTAGAGAGGCCCTATTGGAGCTCGGGAGAAGGCCGGGTGTCCCACGTGGTCCCCGGCGACTGGGCGCGCCTCACACAGTGCGCAGAGTTGGACATTCAGTCAGGCTCCACGTTGCTGGCTGAGACATAACTCCCGGCTTGAGCGTGCGCGAAGGGAATTACAAGTCAAGTCAAAGTGGGGACTGGAGGCAGGGTGCGGTGGCTCATGCCTGTAATTCCAACACTTTGGGAGGCCGAGGCGGGCGGATCATGAGGTCAGGAGTTCGAGACCAGGCTGGCCAACATAGTGAAACCCCGTCTCGACTAAAAATACAAAAATTAGCCGGGCATGGTGGCTCACGCCAGTAGTCCCAGCTACGCGGGAGGCTGAGGCCGGAGAATTGCGTGAACCCGGGAAGCGGAGGTTGTGGTGAGCCGAGATCGCGCCACTGCAAGTCAACCTGGGCAACAGCGAAACTCCGTCTCAAAAAAAAAAAGTGGGGACTGGAGCTTTAGAGTAGACTGGAGATACCTTAACCTCATCTGCGCACGTGGGCGGCGTCTTTAGTGACTTTTTAAACTCTAGTAAGGGAAGTACAGTTTGTTTTCCGGTAAGCCGCCCTGAGAAGATGACGTAACTCAGTTCTTCTTAGTATTATATTGACTAGATTTCCCATGGAAATGTAAAGGCATGTGTTGCGGTGCTGAGTGTACACCATGTTTTTTTATATAGGCCAGCAGTGTGCAGTAGTCTTAACCTTGACAGCCGTCCCTTGCTTTGCTGTTGCTTCCTAGTGATTTAACTTGTGACTGAGTCTCTGTTCTGAGATAAGTCAGTGGGAAGAAAGATTGTTCTTGGACTTAGGTTGTACACTACTTAGAATGAACTTTACTTGTTTGTTTCCCTGCCTTTTGATATGGAGCTCTTACAATAGCAATATTTTAGAATCGTAGGAAGCCGCGGCAGATTTGTACTCAGGTGCAAGAAGTAGTGGTCCTGGTTTACATCGCATCAGTCAGTTGCTTTCAATTTGGCATGCTCAAATCCAGAGATACATGACCAAACTCTGTTATATTCCAAAAGAGACCACCAGGATGGGAAACTTGGTCTTATTTGGTGGAACCAAGGGATGAAAACGAATAAAATTTTGGAAGGAGACTAGCTTGTTTTTTGTTGGCAAGGAGATTATTTTTAATCTATGATTTGAGAACAGAGACCAGGCCTGACGTTTCCAGGAGGCAGAATTCAGTGTAATATGTATTTCCAAGATTGTTCTGGGGCTCTGCCAGAATAGGTTTCTAAGGAGGCTACAACATGTGTCTAATTGCTTTAAATAGTATGAAAAGTTGTAGGGGGTCAGAAAGTTCAAATAGGAGCCACAGTCATCTGTCTTACTTGGTTCTGAGGTGTCACTCCTTCCATATTCTTGTAACTTATTTATTTTATTTTAAATTAAGTACATCTTTTTTACACAAGGGTGATAGACTGAGTTTTTATAACTTTTTGTTTCATAAAGTGTCTCTTTTATTTTATTTATTATTTGTTATTTTTTTTTGAGATCGAATTTTGCTTTCGTTGCCCAGGCTTGTTCTCCATTGGTCAGGCTGGTCTTAAACTCCCAACCTCAGGTGATCCGATCGCCCACCTCGGCCTCCCAAAGTGCTGGGATTATAGGCATGAGCCACCGCGTCCTGCCCTTTTATTTTTTGTAGAGACAGTCTTACTGTCACCCAAACTAGAGTGCAGTGGCATGATTATAGCTAACTGCAGCCTTGAATTCCAGGGCTCAAGCAATCCTCCCACCTCAGCCTTCTAAGTAGCTAGGAGTATAGGTGTGTGCCGCTACGTCTGGCTAATTTAAATTTTTTTTTTTTTTTTTGAGACAGTCTTGCTGTGTCGCCCAGGCTGGAGTGCAGTGGCGCGATCTCAGCTCACTGCAACCCCTGCCTCCCGGGTTCAAGCAACTCTCCTGCCTCAGCCTCCCAAGTAGCTGGGACTACAGGTGCATGACCATGCGTGGCTAATTTTTTTTGTATTTTTAATAGAGACGAGATTTCACTGTATTAAGCCAGGGTGGTCTCCTTCTCCTGACCTTGTGATTCGCCCTCATTGGCCTCCCAAAGTCCTGAGATTACAGGCGTGAGCCACCATGCCCAGCCTAATTTTTAAAGTTTTTCAATAGAGAAAGGGTCTTGCTATATTGCCCATGCTTGCCTGTAACTGCTGGCCTCAAACAATCCTCATGCCTTGGCCTCCCAGAGTGCTGGGATTACAGGCATGAACCACTGCACCTGGCCCTAAACTGTCTTTATATAAATTAATTTGCTCTTGTGAGATAGGCAAAGTGCAGAATTCCTGTTTTGGAGTTAAAGGCTGCAGTGAGCTATGATGATGCCTCTGTACCACAACCTGGGTGAAAAATAGAAATTGTCTCTTAAAAAAACAAAAAAATCACTGTTGTTTTACCTGGGATTTTAGCAGGAAGAAAGAAAAGAAACCCTGCTTAACATCATCAATCTGTAGATACATGGCCTTATTCTATTGGAATTGAATTTGGACTTTCTATATTATTGAGTTTGGAGCCTGTTGGAGTATCCTATGAGCTTATCCAAATCCCTTACAAAAATCTGGTTTCCAGGCCAAGTGTGTTGGCTCATGTAATCCTAGCAGTTTGGGAGGCCCAGGTGGGTGGGTTGCCTGAGCTCAGGAGTTTGAGACCAGCCTGGGCAACATGGCAAAACCCCGCCTCTACTAAACATACAAAAATTAGCTGGGTGTGGTGGTGCACACCTGTAGTCCCAGGTACTCGGGAGGCTGAGGCATGAGAATTGCTTGAACTCGGGAGTGGAGGTTTCAGTGAGCTGAGATTGTACCACTTCACTCGAACCTGGGTGATAGAGCGAGACTCTGTCTCAAAAAAAAAAAAAAAAAAAGAAAAAATCTGTTTTACAACTGTTTGACCCACATGAGTTGAATAGTTACTAAGGGGCACTCTTCATTTTCCAAGATAGTAAAACTATTGATATATACTTGTCTCTATATATAGCTAAGAAGTGGTTTTTTAAAAAGTTTACTATTTTTATTTTTATCTCATCACAACGTGAAAGTACAAATGTCAAAATGCCTCAGAACTATATTTTTCAAAGGTGAAAATGATCTTGAAATAATCCAGAATTGATGAATTTTGCAAATGTATAAATGCCTTATTCAGTGTTTGTATTTTCCTTTTGAATTTTTTAGAAAGAGAAAAAAGAGAAGCCAAAATCTAATAAGACTGAAGAGATAGCAGAAGAGGAAGAAACTGTTTCCCCCAAAGCTAAACAAGTTAAAAAGAAAGCAGAGCCTTCTGAAGTTGACATGAATTCTCCTAAATCCAAAAAGGCAAAAAAGAAAGACGAGCCGTCTCAAAATGACATTTCTCCTAAAACCAAATGTTTGAGAAAGAAAAAGGAGCCCATTGAAAAGAAAGAGGTTTCTTCTAAAACCAAAAAAGTGACAAAAAATGAGGAGCCTTCTGAGGAAGAAATAGATGCTCCTAAGCCGAAGAAGATGAAGAAGGAAAAGGAAATGAATGGAGAAACTGGAGATAAAAGCCCCAAACTGAAGAATGGATTTCCTCATCCTGAACTTGACTGTAACCCCGGTAAAGCTGCCAGTGAAGAAAGTAACGGTGATATAGATCAGGTAAATTTTCACTTCATTGGGTAGAAGATATCTTTCATTGTTGTTTTAGATAAATAAGTAGGTAACTGCTATATGTAGCCTTTAATTGCAGGACAAAATGTGATGTGTCAGCACCTCATGGATTGGGGAATACCTTAGGCTAAGTGGAACTTCATCTTAAAAATTAGCATATGACAGGGCACGGTAGCTCAGCTAAGATGGAGCCCTGTCTTTTTTTTTTTTTTTTTAAATGGAGTCTCGCTCTGCCACCCAGGCTGGAGTGCAGTGGCATGATCTTGGCTCACTGCAACCTCTGCCTCCTGGGTTCAAGTGATTCTCCTACCTCAGCCTCCTCAGTAGCTGGGATTGCGGGCGTGTGCCATCATGCCCGGCTAATTTTTTGTATTTTTAGTAGAGGTGTGCTTTCACCATGTTCGCCAGGCTGGTCTTGAACTCCTGACCTCAGGTAATCCACCACCCCCCACCCTCAGCCTCCCAAAGTGCTGGGATTACAGGCGTGAATCTGTTCTCAGCAGACTCTGTCCTAAAAAAAAAAAAAAATGGCCGGGCGCCGTGGCTCACTCCTGTAATCCTAGCACTTTGGGAGGCTGCGGTGGGCAGATCATGAGGTCAGGAGATCCAGACCACAGTGAAACCCCATCTCTACTAAAAATACACAAAATTAGCCATGCAGGGTGGCGGGTGCCTGTAGTCTCAGGAGAATGGCATGAACCTGGGAGGCGGAGCTTGCAGTGAGCCGAGTCTCGCCACTGCACTCCAGGCTGGGCTACAGAGCGAGACTCCGTCTCAAAAAAAAAAAAAAAATTAGTGTAGTGTCACAATGCTTCCTTTACAAATAAGCAGATACTGTTTAAGCTTAGGGAGAGTCTTGGTCTGCTTATTTGCCAGTCAGTCATCAACAGAAGAGATACAGTTGTGTAAATGGGCCCTAGTTTCCCTCTGAGGGGTTTAACCAAATAAATTATTGGAATTACTGAAAAGGTTGATTGTATAAGTCCTTTTGGTTAGGCCATTAAGTAATCATCCTGGAGTTGAACAGGATGATAAAATGTCTGTCCAGAACCTAATTCTGTTACCTTTCAGAAACTCAGTCATGAAAGAAAAATACTAATTGTATTAAAAAAATTTTTTTTTAGACATGGGATCTCGCTATGTGGCCCAGGCTGGTCTAGAACTTGTGGCCTCAAGCAGTAATCCCGCCTAAGCCTCCTGAGTAGCTGGGATTACAGGCATGAGCCACCACACCCAGCTGAAAAATACTAATTCTAATAAATTTTCTTTTTCTATAGATCATGGTCAACATTTGTAATTTTTTTCCTGATTATAAAAAATATGTGATCCAGAGAAAATAGAAAATGCAGACATTTTGAAAAAAGAAAGAAATGCTTCCTGGAATTTCACCATTCATTTAGTAAATATTAATACCTGTACTTTTCAAGTGCAGAAGTAATCTTGTTCATTTTTGGTGTTTCCTTATAGTACTTTTAATATATGCATCTATTATTTTTAATCAGATTAGGATTGTACTATGCAATCTTGTATCTTGACTTCTCTGTTTCTATCTAAGCATTTTTCTCATTATGCTTAATGGTTACATAATCTTTCATATAAATGTCTTGAAGTCTACTTACTACTTTTATTGAGCATTCAGATAGATATCTTACTATCAAATAATGCCACAGTGACTGCTACCTCATAAACGTTTGTTCATTTTCTATGGATGTGTGTATACGAGAGATGCTGCTTTGGAAGAGGGCTAATGACATTTCCAACAGTGTATTGTTGTATTGTTGGTTGTGGTTATGGAGTAGATCTTAGTTGAGATCTAGTCACACATAATATACCCAGTATATATTTGCCTCAGATTTTTCTTTTGTTAAGGTTTTATAGATTTATGACAATGTTTCCTTTTCAGATCTCGATTTACCTATCAAGGTTTTTGTGTCTTTTTGGTTGATTTTTAAACTGATGTGTTTAGAAGAATTGCTTTAGGATAGCTTGTTTTGTCTCTTTCTCAAAAGGTTCTCTGTTAATTTGTGTAGGTGATTATTGATTTCTTTCTGTGGCCCTTTACTTGATAGGAAATATCTGTGGAACAAAAAGAAGGCGCTTTCTCTAATTTTCCCATATCTGAAGAAACTATTAAGCTTCTCAAAGGTAATGTTCTTGGAAATATCATATGATGTTAGAACGTATTATTTTAACAGAAGCACTCCACTGTTTTTGTTAAGATGAACCAGGATATATTCTTATTGTAGGCGGACACATGCAATCATATAATGAAGTAGGCTTGTGTATTCAGTATAGTACTATAGTAGTGATGGTTCTTCATGCCTCTTAAACAAGTGGTTAAAATTTCTTCAGGCCCTCTGTGGTGGCTCACACCTGTAATTGATTGAGGCCAGGAGTTTGAGACCTGCCTGGGTAACATAGTAACAACCTGTCCCTACAAAAAGTTTAAAAATTAGCGGGGCACATGGTGACACACATCTATAGTCCTAACTACTCCAGAGGCTGAGGAAGGAAGATCGCTTGAGCCCAGGAGTTCAAGGCTTCAGTGAACTGTGATCACACCCCTGCATGCCAGCCTGGGTGACAGAATGAAACCCTGTCTCAAAAAAAATTGTATTTAATACAATATGTATTCAGAAGTGTAATGAATAATGATGCTGGTGAAATTAAGCAATTAGGTGATGCCATGTTAATGTTTTATCTCTTTCGCTTCTGAGGCATCTCTAGGTTAATGAGCCTAATTTATAGGTGTAAACCCAGAATTCATTTAATAATCTGCTTCTGAACTAGCTGACGGACGAGTCGCAGTTACTCAAGTAGGTGCTTCCTAAATCAGGAGCAGCACAGTTGGATTGCAAAGCACCAGATTTTCACGTTTATGGATGAGACTTCAAATATTTACTGTAATTGGTGCTTTAAAGTTTGCTGATATTTTTCAGTCAAGCAGATTCATTGCTATCAGAATATTTTTGAGCCAGGTATGATGGCTTGCACATGTAATCCCAGCTGTCCATCAAGCTGAGGCAGGAGGATCACTTGAGCCTAGGAGTTCAAGGCTGCAAGTGAGTTATGATCACACCACTGTACTCCAGAGTGGGTGACAAAGCAAGACCCTGTTTCTTAAAATATATATATATTTGACCCTAACTTTGTAGATGTTGACCAGAAGGTAGAATTCCTTAATACTGCAGGACCAGAAGCATGAATAGTATACTTCAGTATGTCAGTATGGCTAATATTTTAAGAATTGTGGTGTGAGATAACACAGTTAATTTGTTCATAGGCCGAGGAGTGACCTTCCTGTTTCCTATACAAGCAAAGACTTTCCATCATGTTTACAGTGGGAAGGATTTAATTGCACAGGCACGGACAGGAACTGGGAAGACATTCTCCTTTGCCATCCCTTTGATTGAGAAACTTCATGGGGAACTGCAAGACAGGAAGAGAGGCCGTCCCCCTCAGGTAACTGTCTTAAATACAAGGGCTGTCAGTCAGCACGGGAAAAAACACCACTTGGGCATTGTGTACATACCCTACGATTTTTTATTGAGTTCTTATAGTCACCCATTCTATTTACTGTGGATCTTTATGTGAAAGTAATCCAGGATAATTCTTTTATATTTAATAATATATACAGATCATTCTCTGTATATTTCAATATTTTAATCTTTCCTACACTTTTGATCATCTATATAATTAATGCTTATCATATTTCCTTCAAACCATTAGATGTCCCCGGGGCTCATAGCTTTGGTCGAGTGTCTGACCATTTTTGCCTAGATGGAGAAAGCATTTTTAATAGAAAAGCATGAATGGAAGGAAGGGCAAGTCAGAGATGAAAAGGCCAAGCCCCCATATTAGGGTGAGTCCATTGGGCTCATTTCTAGAGAACTTGACATTTGATAGACATTAACCGCATTGAAATGACTGTGAATGCCCATGTTGTCACTTTGGCTGTGGGTTCTTGCAGTTGTCTTTCTGGTCTAACCTCACTTGCTCACTGGCCTTCCAGTGTCCATGCTCCCCTTTTGTTAATTTGTTTACTGCTGTGTCCCTAGCACACAGAATAGTGCTTGGCCAATAGTAGGTAGTCATTAAATATTTTTTAGATGAATGTATTAGGTGTTCTTTAATCATGTTAGTTTCATACCATTACCCTATTTTGAGGACCTGTAGCAGTTTTTTTTTTTTGAGATGGAGTCACGTGCTGTCGCTGAGTGGTACAATCTCAGTTCACTGTAACCTCTGCCTCCTGGGTTCAAGCGATTCTCCTACCTTAGCCTCCCAAGTATCTGGGATTACAGATGTGTACCACCATGCCTGGCTAATTTTGTATTTTTAGTAGAGGTGGGGTTTCACCATGTTGGCTAGGCTGGTCTGGAACTCCTGACCTCAAGTGGTCCGCCCACCTCAGCCTCCCAAAGTGCTGGGATTATAGGCATGAGCTACTGCACCTGGACTTTTTTTTTTTTTTTTTTTGAGACAAAGTCTCATTTTGTTGCCTGGATTGGCAACAATAGTGCGGTGGCGCAATCTCAACCTCCGCCTCCCAGGTTTAAGTGATCCTCCCACTTCAACATCCCAAGTAGTTGGGATTACCTGTGAGCCACCACACCTGGCTCATTTGTAGTTTTAGTAGAGATAGGGTTTCACCATGTTGGCCAGGCTGGTCTTGAACTCCTGACCTCAAGTAAAGCCACTCACCTTGGCCTCCCAAAATGCTGGGATTATAGGCGTGAGCCATTGCGCCTGGCCAGCAATTTCATGTTTTTTATATATATATATAGATCAAACTCATGTTGCTCTAGGATTCAAAGCCCCTTACATTGTTGGCTTTACCTTACTTCTCTCACTTTGTTCTGCTTCAGATGTTCTCTACTGTAGAGGTTAAGACTACAGGTTTTGGAGCCCAATTGCTTGAAAGCTCTGCTCCTTCTTAGCCTTTGGGGTTTAGTCAAGTTATTTATCCTCTAATACCTAGCTCAAAAGGTTGCGAAAATTAAATCAGAATAATACATATAAAGAATTTAGTAGAGTCTAAGATCTATTAGACAAAAATATTAGCTAATGTTATCATCATCATCAGTGTTAGAACTTGTTCAAGTCGTTCTTTTCCTAGAATGCTATTCTTTAAGAACTAGATTAAGAAACAAATACTACACAGTAATTCGAATTCAATTATTTTTCTTCATCAGGTACTGGTTCTTGCACCTACAAGAGAGTTGGCAAATCAAGTAAGCAAAGACTTCAGTGACATCACAAAAAAGCTGTCAGTGGCTTGTTTTTATGGTGGAACTCCCTATGGAGGTCAATGTGAGTACATTAAAAAAGTGAGGGAAGTATAATGCCACCCATTGTTGACTACTCTTATTGGATTTCTTTTAACCTTCACATCTGGCTTCTCTACATGGGATAGTCGTTTATGGGGATTTTCTTTTGCCATGGTTTAAACATGGTCAAGAACATGGTCCTGCATGATGATAGGCAAATCTTGTATATGGTTCTTAGTACTTTTATCTATTTATATTTATCTAGGGGCTACAAAGGTAACTTATTGAACCCAGAAAAACAGTCCATTTGGGCTCTAGGAAATAGGAAGTCAGAATTCAAGGTTACTCTTGTCTGTTAGGACCTTGGGTCTGTCCCTCTTTCTGCATGGTTGCTTCTTTCTTGATGTATGCAGGCTTTCTTTCCTTGGGGCTCAACGGCCAGATGTTAGAGTCTCTGCTCTTGTATTCCATTACTTCCCAGTTCAAGGCCTTGGAGCTTTATTATTAGAGCGGATGTATAAATTAGGAAGGGATTTAAGGAATTAAATCATAGTTTTGGCTGGGCGCAGTGGCTCATGCCTGTAATCCCAGCACTTTGGGAGGCTGAGGTGGGTGGATCACAAGGTCAGGAGATTGAGACCATCTGGGTAACATGGTGAAACCCCGTCTCTACTAAAAATACAAAAAATTAGTCAGGCTTGGTGGCAGGCACCTGTCGTCCCAGCTACTCAGGAGGCTGAGGCAGAGAATGGTGTGAACCCAGGAGGCGGAGCTTGCAGTGAGCCGAGATCGCGCCACTGCACTCCAGCCTGGGTGACAGAGTGAGACTCTGTCTCAAAAACAAAAAAATTCATAGTTTCGGCACACAGTCTTACGGCTATTTCTTTTCAGCTTTGGCAGAATGAATATAGGGTTTGGCACCAGAAAAGCTTGAATCTAGACTCTGCTCACAGAGTAGCTGTTGTGTTCGAGTTGCTTAATTTTTCTGTGCTTTAGTTTCCTCATCTATAGAAAAAGATTACTAAACCTACCCTGCAGGGATGTTGTGAGGATTGGGTTGGATAATGTATATAAAGTGCCTAGTATTATCCATAGACTGCAACAGCAGTTCAGTACAAAGCTAAATTATTATTACCATCTCATCGCAGTTATATTGAGCTTCATTTTTCCAAATGTCTTTATATATCCTTGGTCTATTTGCTGTTTCATTATGTCTCATCCTCCCTATACCTGTTTACTTTATAGAAAGTTCCTATTTCTGTTAGATTCTTATTCGTACTCTGCGAAACCTTGATACTTTCCTCCAGCCAAGGAAGTAATTTCTTTCTTTTTTTGTCTTGAGACAGAGTCTCGCTGTGTCACCTAGGCTGGAGTGCAGTGGTGCAATCTTGGCTCACTGCAACCTCCGCCTCCCGGGTTCAAGTGATTCTTCTGCCTCAGCCTCCCGAGTAGCTGGGACTACAGGCGCGTGCCACCACGCCTGGCTAATTTCTGTATTTTTAGTAGAGACGTGGTTTCACCATATTGGCCAGGCTGGTATCGAACTCCTGACCTTGTGATCTGCCAGCCTCAGCCTTCCAAAGTGCTGGGATTACAGGCGTGAGCCACCACACCCGGCTGGAAGTAATTTCTTTCCTGGTGCTATGGTCCTCCAGCAGTGTACATTTCTTCCTTTTCTTCCCTTCCCTTTCCCCTTCCCCTTCCCCTTCCCCTTTCCTTTCTCACTCACTCTGTGGCCCAGGCTGGAGTGCAGTGGCGTGATCTCGGCTCACTGCACCCGGGTTCAAGTGATTCTCCTGCCTCAGCCTCCCAAGTAGCTGGGATTACAGGCACCCGCCACTGCGCCTGGTTAATTTTTGTAGTTTTAGTAGAGATTGGGTTTCACCATGTTAGCCAGGCTGGTCTTGAACTCCTGACCTCATGATCCACCCACCTTGGTCTCCCAAAGTGCTGAGATTACAGACGTGAGCCACCACGCCCGGCTGCATATTTCTTTTATGTCACTTTATACACTAGATGGTCACTTCAAATATTTACTATAATTGGATGGTTTAAATTTTGTTGATATTTTTCACTTCGAATGTTTTTCCCACTAGATTAGGAGTGTCGTGAGTATCTTTATCATTATTAATTACTTAGCATATTACTTTGTACTTGCAGGTATTTAACAAATATTTTAGAATAACAATACAGTTAACGGTGGTACCCCAGACCGATAAAAACCCAGAAAATCTTGTCATTGTTTTTTATAGTTGAACGCATGAGGAATGGGATTGATATCCTGGTTGGAACACCAGGTCGTATCAAAGACCACATACAGAGTGGCAAACTAGATCTCACCAAACTTAAGCATGTTGTCCTGGATGAAGTGGACCAGATGTTGGATATGGGATTTGCTGATCAAGTGGAAGAGATTCTAAGTGTGGCGTACAAGAAAGGTAATCCACAAATTCAAGAAGCTGATAAAAAAGACCAAAGGAAGGGTGGTAACTAAATAATTGTCTTTATTTATTTATTTATTTTGAGGCAGAATTTCACTGTCTCACTCTGTTGCCCAGCCTGGAGTGCAGTGGCATAGTCTTGGCTCACTGTAACCTCTGTCTCCTGGGTTCAAGTGACTCCCGTGCCTCAGCCACCCGAGTAGCTGGGATTACAGGCACCCGCCACCACGCCTGGCTAATTTTCGTATTTTTAGTAGAGATGGAGTTTCACCATATTGCCCAGGCTGGTCTCAAACTCCCAGCCCCAAGTGATCTGCCTGCGTCACCCTCCCAAAGTGCTGGGATTAGAGCATGAGCCACTGCGCCTGGCCTGGTGACTAAGTAGTTTTCTAAGAGATGAATAAACCCTTGGGAAATTGGAAGGGGGCTTATTTTATCTAGAAATTTTGATTAAAAAAAAAAAAAGTCATTACTCTGGGATTAAAGCTGGTGAGGAAAAAAAAAGTCATGATTTATCATATAACCACAATGGGGAAGACTTGGGAAAGTAAAAGAAGAAAAATATCATCATCTGTCATCTTGGTGTGGTCTACTTTTGTTGTATTCCTGAAGTTTTGCATTTTATTGTATATATGTTGATTATACTCTGACTATACATATAAAAATTCAGAAAAAATACTGTATGAAGTGGTTGGCCATGATTTAATTCTACTTTCTGCCTATTTTGATTTTTTATTCAATATAAATAATTCTGTTTAGCCACTTTTATATGGGTAGCTTCTCACCTCAATATCTGGAATTGGCTTTTTTTTTTTTTTTTTTTTCCTTTTGAGACAGGGTCTAAATCTTTCACCCAGGCTGGAGTGCAGTGGTGGGATCTTGCCTCATTGCAGCCTCCACCTTCCAGGTTCAAGCGATCCTCCAAGTAGCTGGGACTATAGGCATGCGCCACCATGCCCAGCTAATTTTTCTGTTTTTTGTAGTGATGGGTTTCACCATGCTGTCCAGGCTGGTCTCGAACTCTTGGGCTCAAGTGATCCTCCCTCCCACTTTGGCCTCCCAAAGTGCTGGGATTACAGATGTGATCTACCACAGCCGCCCTTTTTTTATTTTTAAGATAGGCCCTCACCCTGTCACTCAGGCTGGAGTACAGTGGCACCATCATAGCTCACTGCGTCCCTGAACTTCTGGGCCTCAGCTTCCTGAGTAGCTAGGGCTACGGGGGTGTACCACCATGCCTGGCTAATGTTTTTATTATGCATAGAGACAGGGTGTCACTGTGTTGCCCAGGCTTGTCTTGATTCCTGGCCTCAAGTGATCCTCCTGCCTCTACCTCTGAAAGCATTGGAATTACAGGCATGAGCCACTGTGCCTGGCCTGGAATTGGTTCTTTAGGATAGATTTCCAGAAGTGGAATTACTGAACTTAAAAGTGTAAATAATTCATGCTCCTCAATATACATTGTCAGATTCTCTCCAGAAGGGTTTGACCACACTTCTATTTGGAATGTTTGAGAATGTGATGTCACTCTTAAGTAGAATTGAATAAACAAAAATAGTAGCTGGACTCAATGATTGGACAAGAATTCTAAATTCATAAAATATTAAGAATAGAAATCTTAGAATATATTTCGTTTGTAATTCAAAGCCTAAATGGTCAGAAAGCAAAATAACTTTCAAGTACTTTCACTATTTTAAGGATCTTTTAGATAAATTACCTAGTGGTTTCTTTGCCCATTGGGAAACCTCTGTCTTCCAGTTTTGTGTCCTCAGTACCTGACTTGCCTCAGGTGGTTGCTGGTGAACATTGATGGACTGTGGAAGTGTTAGGTTAGGTGGAATACTATGTAGGCTTGTTTGGATTATTCATACTGACTTTTTTTTTCCCCTCCTCAAAGATTCTGAAGACAATCCCCAAACATTGCTTTTTTCTGCAACTTGCCCTCATTGGGTATTTAATGTTGCCAAGAAATACATGAAATCTACATATGAACAGGTGGACCTGATTGGTAAAAAGACTCAAAAAACGGCAATAACTGTGGAGGTAAATTATTTACTTAGTTGCCAGAATATAAAATTGTATATTATTATTTTCTTGTCTGTTAGTATTAAGACTGGCAAATACTGTTTTTCCGGATAAATACTAAATCCATGTGAAAAGCCAAGGAAAGATATTTCTATTTGAGCTATATATGAGATCTGTGTTTTTATTTTTAGTTTTTGTTTTTTGAGATGGAGTCTCGCTCTGTCGCCAGGCTGGAGTGCAGTGGCGCGATCTCTGCTCACTGCAACCTCTACCTCCTGGATTCTCCTGCCGAAGCCTCCCTAGTGGCTGGGACTACAGGTGTGCGCCACCACACCCAGCTTAATTTTTGTATTTTTAGTAGAGATAGGGTTTCACTATGTTGGCCAGGATAGTCTCAATCTCTTGACCTTGTGATCCGCCCACCTCGGCCTCCCAAAGTGCTGGGATTACAGGTGTGAGCCACCATGCCCGGCCCAATATCTGTGTTTTTAAAATTTCATCATGTGATGGCCTCATTTCATTTCAGAATAATTTGGAACTTAAATCTATCTGAATTATGTAAACGTAAATCACACAATTTAAACATTAGAGGGCAGCAGAGAAACCTAGTGCTTTGGGTTTAAGCTTAAAAGTGTTGAAGTTTAAAATTTCACTTTTGATTCTGATACCTAGATGAATTAATTTCACTGAGGAACAGACCTGGATATTAATCTACAGATTGGATTCTTAAGTAAATGAAAGGGCAAAACATACAGAAACTTGTTGGTTATTTGGTTTCCTGTAGAAAGCTAGGGAATGGCATTTCCTTTCCAGCATTTTCCTGGTTGTCAGAAAATAAAGTTAGGTGCTCCTTAGAGAAAGGGGAAAGGCATGGGGAGATGGGCAGATCATGTTGCTTTCTGCTTTAATGACTTATTTAGGTTTTTTTCTCTCTGCAGTGGTGGCTGCAGATAGCTCTTATCAGGCTTGAGTAGTTGTTTCCAGGAGCAAGACATTAGAACATTAGTGTTGTGCTCATTGATCATTGTGTTGTGATTTTAGTTTCCAGCAAAGCTTTACTAACTAGATGTTTTTTTTCTTCTTCTTATATAAGCATCTGGCTATTAAGTGCCACTGGACTCAGAGGGCAGCAGTTATTGGGGATGTCATCCGAGTATATAGTGGTCATCAAGGACGCACTATCATCTTTTGTGAAACCAAGAAAGAAGCCCAGGAGCTGTCCCAGAATTCAGCTATAAAGCAGGTTGGTCCTTCCCCTTATGCCAGCAAAGCTGGGGATATCAACAAATCTTCACCTTGGGCATATTTGCTCTTGGTCTAATTTTCATTCATTCAGTGAATACCAGTTTAGTTTCTTTTAGTTTAGAAATGAGAGGAAGCTACTTTTTTTTTTTTTTTAATTGAGGCAGAGTCTCACTCTGTTACCCAGGCTGGAGTTCAGTGGTGTGATCTGGGCTCTCTGCTTCCCTGAGTTCAAGTGATTCTCCCACTTCAGCCTCCCAAGTAGCTGGGGTTACAGGTGGGTACCACCACGCCTGGTTAATTTTTTTTTTCTTTTTTTTTTTTGAGATGGAGTCTCGCTTCTTTGCCCAGGCTGGACTGCAATGGTGCGATCTTGGCTCACTGAAACCTCCACCTCCTGGGTTCAAGCGATTCTCCTGCCTCAGCCTCCTGAGTAGCTGGGATTACAGGCATGTGCCAGCGCACCCAGCTAGTTTTTGTATTTTTTAGCAGAGATGGGGTTTCACCACGTTGGCCAGGTTGGTCTTGAACTCCTGACCTCAAGTGATCCACCTGCCTTGGCTGCTCAAAATGCTGGGATTATAGGCATGAGCCGAGCCACTGCACCTGGCCAATTTTTTGTTTGTTTGTTTTGGAGACAGGTTCTCACTTCCTTTGCCCAGGCTGAAGTGAAGTGCACTGGCGTGATCTTGGCTCACTGTAGCCTCAACCTCCAGGTAGCATGCACTACCATACCTGACTTTTTTTTCTGGATGGTGTTTTATTGTTGATATAATTCATGTGCCACATATTACCATTTTAAAATGTACAGTTCAGTGGCTTTTAGCATAATCATGAGGTTGTGCCATAGTCACTACTATCTAATTGGTAAGACTTTTTTTTTTATCATCAACTTTTAGGTTCAAGGGTACATGTGAGGATGGGCAGGTTTGTTACATAGGTAAACGCAAGCAAAGATGGCTTGCTGCACAGATCATCCCATAACCTATGTATTAAGCCCAGCATTTATTAGCTGTTCTACCTGATGCTCTCCTATCCACCCTCCACTAACTTTATTTTATTTTATTTTTTTATTTCTAGTAGAGACCGAGTCTTGCCATATTGCCCAGGCTGGTCTCAAACCCCAGGCTCAAGCAGTCTACCTGTTTGGGCCTCCCAAAGTGCATGAGCCACTGCACCTGGCCTCACTTCTTTCTGATAATTAGAGTGTACATGTTAGAGCTCTTAATCTGTCATGGCATCTCACTGTACAAATGAGGAAAGGGTGGCTCAGACCTAAGGTTACACTGACAAAATAGGTTTGATCACTCTTCTGTCATATTCTCAACTTCAATAAGTAAAGTTGGATACAGTTGGAATTGATGACTGAGGATCTTGAAATAATATTGAGGCTTATCCATTCAAGACACATTTTCCCCTTTGTAATGTTTTCAACAGGCATATCACCAAAATATGAATGTCTTTTACAGGCCTAATTGATTATGAGAAAAAGTACTTGTGTTGTTGGAGCTGGTGTTCTTACATCCGTTTATTTATTGGCAGGATGCCCAGTCATTGCATGGAGACATTCCACAGAAGCAAAGGGAAATCACCCTGAAAGGTTTTAGAAATGGTAGTTTTGGAGTTCTGGTGGCAACCAATGTTGCTGCACGTGGGTTAGACATCCCTGAGGTTGATTTGGTTATACAAAGCTCTCCACCAAAGGTATGTACTTTATGCTTAGATTTTATTTTGTTTCTTTTGGGTATTAAAACAAATGGGAAATTGTACTATTTACTTTGATATAATTAGTATATAGCTATCTTTTGAGTGCTGGGATGCTAAAGGTGATTTTGAGAATGAACCTGTTATAAGACACCCCCCTCAGAACTGACACTTGAATAGAAGTGCAATCAGCAGACAGAGGTTCAAAAGGTGACTTTGGGATATAGTGTGATTTTTGAGCCAAACCTTGAAGATGGGTGGAAGGACTTAGATGGGATAGGGGTAAGTAAGATAGATAAATGCATGAGTCTAGAGGACAGGGGAGAGAAAGGGCTTGTAATTAACCTCTGTGGTTAGAGATGCTTAGGTTTGTGAGTTATAGGAACCTCTCAAGGAGGATCCTGAAGCATAGTTTACTTGATGTGGATAGTTTTCTTGTAAATAAAGGTTGTTCTAAAGGTATTCCAGTCACTTCCAACATGAAGACCCCATAATCTCACCCAAATTGGCAAATCCCCTATGGTTAGAGGCTACTTACAACAATGGGGAAAAATAACTGAAGACTGTGAATTCACCAGTTCTTAAAAAGGAAGTCCTGCCGGGCACGGTGGCTCACGCCTGTAATCCCAGCACTTTGGGAGGCCAAGGCAGGTGGATCACGAGGTCAGGAGATCGAGACCATCCTGGCTAACACGGTGACACCCCGTCTCTACTAAAAATACAAAAAATTAGCCAGGCGTGGTGGCAAGCGCCTGTAGTCCCAGCTACTCAGGAGGCTGAGACGGGAGAATGACGTGAACCCGGGAGGCGGAGCTTGCAGTGAGCTGAGATTGCGCCACTGCACTCCAGCGTGGACTACAGAGCGAGACTCCGTCTCAAAAAAAAAAAAAAGGAAGAAAAGGAAGTCCTATGAGTGTGTGGTATAAACATTGTTTCATGAGCCTTTAGACTTTTTGATATGGTAGCCCCTAGCTGTGTTGAGCACTTGAAATGTGGGTGATCTGAATTGATCTGTAAAATACAAGTGTAAAATACATACTGCATAACTTTTCATTATGCGGTCTGAATTTTGAAGACTTATGAAAGAATATAAAATATTGCATTGGTACCCTGGTTTGTATAGATAGTATACTGAAATGATAAGACTTGGATATATTGACTGGTGTGGTGGCTCATGCCTGTAATCCTAGCACTTTGGGAGGCTGAGGCAAACGGATCACTTAAGGTCAGGAGTTCGAGACCAGCCTGGCCAACATGGTGAAACTCTGTGAAACCCTGTCTCTATTAAAAATTCAAAAACTAGCCAGGCCTGATGTCGGGTGTCTGTTGTCGCATCTACTTGGGAGGCTGAGGCAGCAGAATCACTTGAATCTGGAAGGCGGAGGTTGCAGTGAGCTGAGATTATGCCATTGCATTCCAGCCTGAGTGACAGAGCGAGACTCTCTCTCAAAAGAAAAAAAAAAGACTTGATATATTGAGTTAAAATACATTAAACTTCTTAAAGAAATCTTTTCAGTGTGTCTACTGGAAGATTGAAAATTGGAATTACATATATGCCTCTAATGGACAAGCACTATTTAGACAATGCTCTTTGTAAATTTGCCTATAGGACAGGGACCACTGTTCTAGAAGCTTTAAAAATTGCCGGAGGTCAACCGGGCGCGGTGGCTCATGCCTGTAATCACAACACTTTGGGAGGCCGAGGCAGGTGGATCACGAGGTCAGGAGTTTGAGGCCAGCCTGACCAACATGGTGAAACCCTGTCTCTACTAAAAATACAAAAAAAATTAGCCAGGTATGGTGGCGCGTGCCTGTAATGCCAGCTACTCAGGAGACTGAGGCAGGAGAATTGCTTGAATCTGGGAGGTGGAGGTTGCAGTGAGCTGAGATTGCGCCACTGCACTCCAGCCTGAGCAACAGAGAAAGACTCTGTCTCAAAAAAAAAAAAAAAAAAAAAAAATTGCCAGAGGTTTTTAAATTGAAGTGCTAAGGGACCTTCTCCCTCATGCCCCCAGGCTTATAACCACAATTGCTAGTGTTCACTGACCTGCATAGGCTACTCAGGTGTTTGTCTCTCTTTTTTGGTTTAGTGTTATTTATGTATTTTACTTCAATAGGATGTAGAGTCCTACATTCATCGATCCGGGCGGACTGGCAGAGCTGGAAGGACGGGGGTGTGCATCTGCTTTTATCAACACAAGGAAGAATATCAATTAGTACAAGTGGAGCAAAAAGCGGTACAACTATTCTTACCTTTCATTAAGCAAATGTTGAATTCTAAAGTCAGTCTTTAGTTTCTTCGATTTTTCTCCACTTTAAAATATTTTTATTTCTAGTGTGTGGCAATGACTGAAAGCTTACTGTTAAGTACATATGTTGTCCTGTGATAAAAGGCCCATTCTGAAGTAACTTTGCATTTGAAAACAGTGGTTTTGTTTTCATATGTTTGAAAGGCAGTTTTCAGACAATGATAATATGAACCAGAGATAATTAAGATTGAGGGGCTATAGGAATTGCTTGAAAATCAAATGAATTTGGGCATGTCAAAAGGATAAAGGGGAGAAGAGACTAATTTTTCCTCCAGAAGAATTGGAATAGTGTGTGTAGATTCTTGCCCCTTCAGGAGCTTAACTCATCTCCTTCCTCTTGAGTGGACTGCACTCAGGGACTTGCTTTCAAAGAATAGAGTAAGGTGGGAAGTGAGGACTTTACCGTGGAGAGATGAACAAACACTACCTGGGCCCGCTGATTGTGGGTCACGTCATCAGTGATAGGCACATAGGCATGTGCCCCGATAAGAGGTGGTGAGGCGAGCATTCACGCCGGGTATTCCTCCCCCAAGTATATAACCCTGAGCATGAGGAAAACACCAGACAACCTCAAATGGAGGGACATTCTACAGAACTGTTGACCAGCACTCCTTAAAACTTTCAATCATGAAAAACAAGGAAAGAAGGAAAGACAGACATGGAATAAAGTCTGGGGTTTGGTTAATAGTTTAGCAATGTTGGTTTCTTAGTTGAAACAAATATACCTTAACAGTGTAAGATGTTAACAGTAGCAGAAACCTGGAGCTCTCTGAACTGTCTTTGTAGCTTTTCTGTAAATCTATAATTGAAAATTCATTTTTTAAGGTAATAAATACATTTGGCCTATATTTAAAAAATTAGGGAACTACTTTATCTTATTGGAAACAATTGATGGCCATTGTACATTAAACTGTGGTTCATTTTCCTGTAGGGAATTAAGTTCAAACGAATAGGTGTTCCTTCTGCAACAGAAATAATAAAAGCTTCCAGCAAAGATGCCATCAGGTATGTCCCCTACCACTGCTATGGTCTGTTTTAGTGTTTGTTCAAATACTGCATGTCTTTGTACAGTAATAAGATTTGACTTTTTAAAAATTTATTTTTTAAATTTTTGAGACAGGGTCTGACTATGTTGCCCAGGCTGTTCTCAAACTCCTGGGCTCAAGCAGTCCTCCCACCTCAGCCTCCCAAGGTACTAAGATTACAGGCGTGATACTCATTCCTGTCCAATCCTGTTTACCAAAGGAAACCACTATTAAAATAGTTTGCTTTGTCTAGGATATTTTAAGAGATAATATCTTAGGTATAGTATAAGTGCTTCTCACCCACTGGCTGATTAGACCACAGATTACATTCCAAATCTACGTTAATCCAGTTCCTCACCTGGTAGGATGAAAGTTGATTGTTTCGTTAATAGTAAACGTCTAGATGCTGAGGATTGGGTTAATTAACCGTTTGTCAAATGGAGGTGCTGCTGACATTGGAGGCAAGAGAATTATTTTTTATGGGATTGTCCTGCAAATGGAAGGATATTTAGCTGTTTAGGATCCGTGGCTGATTCCCCTGTGCAGCATACTCAGGGTAGGTAGGGTTGGCATTATAAAAACCAGAAGCCATTTTCCAGATGCCTCCTGGTGGTGACCTACATTCTCTGTTAAAGAACCACTCATTTTGGGCATCATTTTTATAGTGGTTTCCACAATTACTGCAAATGCTTATTTAAAAAACAGACACAGGGAGTCCATGATCAAAGGAAATCCTGGATGTCAATCAGCATGTTAATAGTTCAGGAAAGTTTTGTAAATGAAAGAGTTTTGGGCCAGGCATGGTGGCTCATGCCTGTAATCCCAGCACTTTGGGAGGCTGGGGTAGGCGGATTGCTTGAGCTCAGGAGTTCAAGACCAGTCTGGCCAACACAGCAAAACCTCATCTCTATAAAGAATACAAAAATTAGATGTGATGGCACATGCCTGTAGTCCCAGCTACTCTGGAGGCTGAGATGGGTGGATTGCATGAGCCCGGGAGGTTGAGGCTGCAGTGAGCTGTGATTGTGCTACTGTACTCCACCCTGGGTGGCAGAGTGAGACTGTCTCAAAAAAAAAGAAAGAGAAGGAAGGAAGGAAGGAAGAAGACAGGGAAGGGAGGAAAGGAAGGATGAGTGGTTTTTTTTTGTTTGTTTGTTTGTTTTTTGAGACGGAGTCTTACTCTGTCGCCCAGGCTGGAGTGCAATGGTGCAATCTCATCTCACTGCAAGCTCCGCCTCCCTGGTTCACACCCTTCTCCTGCCTCAGCCTCCCGAGTAGCTGGGACTACAGGCACCCACCACCATTGCTGGCTAATTTTTTGTATTTTTAGTAGAGACGGGGTTTCACCGTGTTAGCCAGGATGGTCTCGATCTCCTGACCTCGTGATCCACCTGCCTTGGCCTCCCAAGGTGCTGGGATTACAGGCGTGAGCCACCGTGCCTGGCCCAGAAGAGTGTATTTTAACTACATTTTTCAAAATTATTTTAGCATGGCGTTTTTTTTTAAGTGTCCTACAGACGGGGTTCCCTTGGGTGCCAGTTAAGGAGAGTTGGGGTTAGATGGCGAAGAAGGGGAATGGGACAAAGATGCTGTTGGTATACAACAAACAGCCTCCAGAGTGCCAGCCCTGACACTGCTGCATGTCACTTTCTACCCTTTTACTGGATGATCTAACTTTGAATGGGACATTTATTATTGCCAAGATAATAGTGACCCCCTTAAAAACGTGCAAATAGTCCCATAAACGTCCTTATCATTTTTTCAACTGACTTTGGAGGTCTTTTTCTTATTTCTTTTATTTTCTTTTTTTTTAAAAGAGATGGGATTTCTTAAAATGATTATGTGTGGCACAGTCATAGCTCACTGTAGCCTCAAGCAATCCTCCCACCTCAGCCTCCCAAGTAGTTGGGACTACAGGCATGTGCCACCACACCCAGCTTTTTTTTCAACTTCAGAATGGAAATAGGTATTTTCTGATCCTAAAAGTAACACATGCTTCTTGTATAAAAACTCTTGACATTATTCATCATCACATCTAATGGTAGTATAACATTTTATTATATCTGTTTTGTGGTTTATATAAGCAGTCCAGATGATGCACATTTTAAAATTGTTTATACTTTTTGTATATCATAAGTAACACCGTGGTGAACTTCTTGTTTTATTATTTCCTTAGGATAAAATGGTGTGGTAGGTGGTAAATTAGAATTGCATACAGTCCAAGGAATGGATGTACTACTATAGAAATATGATGATTATACACTGCATCAAAATAAATGTGTTACACATGTGAAAGATTTGCAAAGTTACTCATTTATCTTGAGATGTCTTAGAAATGAAATCTGTCCATTTCTAGTATCCTTTTTCCTAACACACTCTCAAACAACAGGCTTTTGGATTCCGTGCCTCCCACTGCCATTAGTCACTTCAAGCAATCAGCTGAGAAGCTGATAGAGGAGAAGGGAGCTGTGGAAGCTCTGGCAGCAGCACTGGCCCACATTTCAGGTGCCACGTCCGTAGACCAGCGCTCCTTGATCAACTCAAATGTGGTAAGGTTCTGCAGCACATTCCTGATGCTTCATAATTTGGGGTATGAACAGGATGTGAAAGGGTTTCATTTAAACTTCCCAGTTGTTTTCACTTTCTCATGAAGGTAGTAAAGTATTAATTGTATTTTACAATTTCTGGCCAGACATGGTGGCTCATATCTGTAATCCCAGCCCTTTGGGAGGCACAGGTGGGAGGATGGCTTGAGCCTACAAGTTTGAGATCACCCTGGGCAACCTAGTGATACTCTGTCTCTACAAAAAAATAAAAATAAAAAATTAGCTGGGTGTGGTGGCATGCTGTGGTCCCAGCTACCTGGGAGGCTGGGACGGGAGGAGGGAGTATCACTTGAGCCCAGGAGGTTGAGGCTGCAAGGATCCACGATGGTGCCACTGCATTCCAGCCTGGGTGACAGAGTGAGACTCTGTCTCAAAAAAGAATAGAACCAATAATTCCCGTGTTTAAACACATGTACACATATATACACACACATGCAAATCCATAGAGGCAGAAAATATGAGTGGTCCCCAGTGGCTATGTGGAGGGAGGAATGGCAGTGGCTAGTAATGGACACAGGATTCTTTTGGGTGGATTATGACATGGCTGAAATTTTACATAGTGCTGAATGGTTGCAGATCTTACCAGTATAGTAAAATAAAAAACACTGGATTGTGTACTTTAAATGGTGAATTTTGTGGTATGTGATTTTTAATTGTTTTAATCCTAAAGTAGCCCAAACATATGTATGCATAAATGCATATAATACATTTAGGCAGCATACCTAGAAACTTTAGAAGGTGTATACTTTTCCTGTAAATTCAAATTTTCATTGAGATAATTGTAGCTTTACATGTAGTTGTAAGAAATAATACAGAGAGATCCTTCGTGTACTCTGCCCAGCTTCCCTAAAAGGCAAATGTATTTTGTAAAAATATAAAATTTTGGAAAACTGTAATACCACAACCAAGATATTGACATTCAGTCTTACTCAGAGTTCCCCAAGTAAAACCAGAGACTGTTTGTACTAATTGTTTGTGTGAGGTATATGTTTTTAGGAATAACTTTTCAAGAAATATTTTAGAATCACAAAAGCAGGTATTTACCAATTAGGTTTATTTTCAGCACTTTAATTTTATTCCCCTTTCTTCTGTAAGGGTTTTGTGACCATGATCTTGCAGTGCTCAATTGAAATGCCAAATATTAGTTATGCTTGGAAAGAACTTAAAGAGCAGCTGGGCGAGGAGATTGATTCCAAAGTGAAGGGAATGGTTTTTCTCAAAGGAAAACTGGTAAGGCTGGGGTCTCTTGTAACCTTGATGGGGCTTTATGTGGGCAGGAAAGCATAAAGTGGTGTGGGTTCTTCCTCTTCTGTGGGAATGCTGCATCTCTTCACTCTCTCATCTTCCCTGGGTAATCTCATCTGTGATCCTCAGTTGCCACTCTGCCACTGACAACTAGTGTACCTCTATCTCCAGCCTGTACCATTCTTCTCACAGTGCCAGACTGGATCCAGCTGCTTCCCTGACATCTCCACCTAAATAGCTTATTTAAAGTAACTTTTTCAGAATCTTTTTTTTCTTTGCAATCCTTTTCTAGCACTGGACTTATTCAGAATCTTGAATTCAAATTAAAAATGAAAACTTTTGCCTCCTAAACCTGGTGTTCTTTCTTCTGAGGACTTCTCTTGGTTAATGCCATAGACTTATCACAAGGATTCTCAAACATTTTGGTTTCACAATCCCTTTAGCAAATGTTAGGGACACCCAAAAACTTTAGTTTATATGGGTTATATCTGTTGATACTTACTGTATTAGAAATTAAAACTGGAACTCTAAAACACAATATCATTTTCCATTAGCCATCAGAGCAATGATTTTATCACGTCATATAGTGTCTAGGAAACTCCACTGAACCCTTGAGACAATGGGTGTGGAAAGGGCAGCATTATTATGAAAATAATTTTGACTTGGCGAAGCCCCTGAAAGATTTTCAGGTTTCCAGGTGTCCACTGGCCTAGTGAACCAATTAGGTTTATCTTCAGCTTATCGCATGTCTAGCCATGTTGTTTATCTCCACAAAACTTGTGGGATAAAGTGTCAACCCTTTCATAGGAGGGTAAGATCCTTCATGTCCTGGCCTCTGCTAGCCTTACAGCTTCATTTCTACCAACACCATTTACTCCAGCAGTGCCCACTACACCATGTTTATCTCATCCTCAGTGCCTGCTGAACCTACTATTTATAGTAATCTTTTGGCCGGGTGCGGTGGCTCACACTTGTAATCTCAGCACTTTGGGAGGCCAAGGTGGGCGGATCACCTGAGGTCTGGAGTTTGAGACCAACCTGACCAACATAGAGAAATGCTGTCTCTACTAAAAATACAAAATTAGCCAAGGATGATGGTGTATGCCTGTAATCCCAGCTGCTTGCAAGGCTGAGGCAGGATAATCACTTGAAAACCCAGGAGGCAGAAGTTGCAGTGAGCCCAGATTGCGCCATTGCACTCCAGCCTGGGCAACAAGAGTGAAATTCTGTCTCAAAAAAAAAAAATGTTGTATATATATAAATCGTTTCCTCCAAAGTAGCTTTTATGACTTTGCTTAGCCTTAAATCTTACCAGGCAATAGTAGGGGCATCTTTATCTGTACTTCAAAGTCTTTAGGACACATGTTTATGCAGGTAAACTTTTACCTTGCTGTGTTTGCTTACGGAGAGCCTCAAGAACACTCAAAGGCAAAAACTGTTTTCTAGTTACCTCTATCCCCAGTGAATGCCTGGGATTATACTCTACTTCATAAATATGTAAGTGAAGATTACCATGAATGGCAAAATCCACCAGTAGGTGATGATACCTATGTTGTGATTGGGTAAATTTTGGGGTGAAAGGGGTGTTCCTTATAAAATACTGCAGTTGAAGACAGCAGGGAGAGGAGTGCCTGTATTAGTTAACACATAATTTGACTATATTTTTAGATGATTTCCTTGATTGGAGAGGATGGCACTTAATATTAAAAATGGTGTCCTGGCTAGGTGCCATGGCTCACACCTGTAATCTCAGTATTTTGGGAAGCTGAGTTGGGAAGATAATTCTTGAGACTGGCCTGGGCAACATAGTGACACCCTATCTCTACCAAAAAAAAAAAAAAAAAAAAAAAAGCCAGGTGTAGTGGCATGCCAAAGTTACAGTAAGTTGTTAATTGCACCACAGTACTCCAGCCTAGGCAGTAGAGCAAGACCCTATCTTAAGAGGAAAAAAAAAAGATGGTGTCCTGTATTATTTTTTTCATACTCTTACAGAAGGCTGAAGTAAGAAAAACTAGACAATTAACAATAGAAGATCACTTGTTCTTCACTTTTAGTTAGGTCATTCTGAATAGCTGGCATTGCTTTTCTGATGGAAGGCAGTATATAGTTTAACTATAGGTTTTAGAGCCATACAGACGAGATTTTAAATACTTGCTCCATTTAATAGCTGTGGGGCCTTAGACTAGTCAGTTAACCTTTCCAAGCCTGTTTGCTCAGCAATAAAATGTAGCTAATAGCCACTAGAGGGTTAGCACGGTGTAATAGCTAAGACTCTGTCTATAGTTAGAAAGTCCTAATTCGTTTGGAGTTTTTTTTTTCAGTATTCCTTGTCTTTCTGCAGTGTACTTTTGCCAGCTGTAATGTATTAGCTTTGGTCTAAAGTTCATCTAAAATTATACCTGGTGGTTTTTTTTGCTTTATGTTTTTTGTTTTCTTTTTTTCACAGAATACGTGGTCTTTTAAAGGGAGTATTTTTATTGTGCATTGGTTGGATTAACTTCCATTTACTTTGATTTCTAGGGTGTTTGCTTTGATGTACCTACCGCATCAGTAACAGAAATACAGGTATTCTTTTCTCTTAGATTTTAAAGTTAATGTACCTAAATTGTAGAATGTTAATTATGAAAATAGAGAATAATAGATTGGGAAACAATAGTTCTGGTTCCTTTCGTAAGAGATAATTGATAATTAAATTTTGGAATATTCCCCCCTAGCTTTTTAATTCTGAACAGCTTTTGTAGTTGAACCCACCTGGTTTCTGTAATTCCTTTATACAAAGTTGTGAACGATACCCAGCTCTCCCCGCCCTTTAACATACATATGTTATACAGGTTTTGTGTGTGTGTGTGTGTGCACATGTGTGTGTGTGTTTTCAGAGTCTTGCTCTGTCGCCCAGGCTGGAGTGCAGTGGTGCAATCTTGGTTCACTGCAACCTCCACCTCCTGGGTTCAAGCGATTCTCTTGCCTCAGTTTCCCAAGTAGCTGGGATCATAGGTCCACCATCACCCCTGACTAATTTTTTGTCTTTTACTAGAGATGGGAGTTTCGCCATGTTGGCCAGGCTGGTCTCGAACTCCTGACCTCAGGTGATCCACTCACCTCCCAAAGTGCTGGGATTACAGGCATGAGCCACCACATCCAGCCTACAGGTGTTCATAGACATTTAAATTTGTTACATCTTTATTCAGTACTGTGAGAAATGTGTGCTTAATATATTTGTTTTATTACCTTTGGCTGTAGATACCCTGTAGCAATTGAGTTGAATAAATGGTTTAATAACTTAATAAATGAAGTAGTGATGAGGGCTATTTCTCATAATAAAACTATATTTTCCCACACTTTAGTGACACTGGCTTTTGGACCATGATGGTTGGCCAGTGTTATTTTTGACCAGTGACTTGTTAAGCACTTATGTTATCACCTTTTCTTTGAAAAAATGGAAAAATTTTGTTTTTCTCATGCTTTTTAAAAATTGAATAGTAATTAAAGCACATGAAAACAAAACGTTCTCTCACAGGAGAAATGGCATGATTCACGACGCTGGCAGCTCTCTGTGGCCACAGAGCAACCAGAGCTGGAAGGACCACGGGAAGGATATGGAGGCTTCAGGGGTCAACGGGAAGGCAGTCGAGGCTTCAGAGGACAGCGGGATGGAAACAGAAGATTCAGAGGACAGCGGGAAGGCAGTAGAGGCCCGAGAGGACAGCGATCAGGAGGTGGCAACAAAAGTAACAGATCCCAAAACAAAGGCCAGAAGCGGAGTTTCAGTAAAGCATTTGGTCAATAATTAGATTTATATAGCAAAAAGAGAATGTTTGGCAATATAGAACTGAACATTATTTTTCTTACAAAGTTAAAAGCACATTGTGGGCCGGGCGCGGTGGCTCAAGCCTGTAATCCCAGCACTTTGGGAGGCCGAGACGGGCGGATCACGAGGTCAGGAGTTCGAGACCATCCTGGCTAACACGGTGAAACCCCGTCTCTACTAAAAAATACAAAAAACTAGCCGGGCGAGGTGGTGGGCGCCTGTAGTCCCGGCTACTCGGGAGGCTGAGGCAGGAGAATGGCGTAAAAACCCGGGAGGCGGAGCTTGCAGTGAGCTGAGATCTGGCCACTGCACTCCACCCTGGGCGACATAGCGAGACTCCGTCTCAAAAAAAAAAAAAAAAAAAAAAAAAAGCACATTGTGCCTCCTTTTGACCACTTGCCGAGTCCCTGTGTCTTTCAGATGCAGACAAGCTTCATTTAAATTATTTCATTTGATCATTATAATTTATAACTTTATTGCTACTTCTTCAGTTCTTCCTTTTGAAAGGTGTATGAATTCATTACATTTTTATTCTAAAGGATTATCTGTAGATTAGAAGATAAAATCAAACGTGTATCTGCCTATACTTTGTGAGTTCACCTTTCTTTATACTTAAAAGTGTCCCTTAATAGTGTCCTTCCCTGAAGTAAATACCTAAGGGAGTGTAACAGTCTCTGGAGGACCACTTTAAGCCTTTGGAAGATTTCCTCAGCCACCTGCCGAACAGTTTTTCATGTGGTCCGATTGTTTGTCTACTGAGACTTAATACTGAGCAATGTTTTGAAACAAGATTTCAAACTAATCTGGATTGTAATACAGTTTATACCAGTGTATGCGCTAGACTTGGAAGATGTAGTACATTTGATATAGATTACCTATACTTATGTTCATTTTGATACATTTTTAGCTTCTCATTATAAGGTGATTCATGCTTTAGTGAATTCTTCACAGATAGTATATATAAAAGTACATTTTAATAGAAAGCCAGGGTCTTTAAGGAATTTCAAATGTATAAGGTGGCTCCATAACTTTATTTGTAAGTAGGCTGGATAAATGGTGCTTAAAATGATAATGTACTCCACTTCTTCCTATTGGAAGATTAACATTATTTACCAACAAGATTTAAGGGAGTAGGGGGTTGCAGATTAACATTGCCAAAGAGTATGTAAAAAAAAAAAAAAACCAAACCACTGGAAATAGTCAAATGCAAAAATGTTACAAATTCATAACTGGAGAGCAAAGAGAACAAGTATGATTTGCATGATAAAGCATTGTTTTAATGGTGAAAACTTCACAGATCACTAATGTTTCTAGAGGTTAACTTCAAGTGGGCAAGCTGGGGTTTTTAGGTAGTCAGTGGCCTAGTTTCTAAAGCCGCAGTATAGGGTCTGTTTGTTAAACTGAATCTCTGTTGAAAGTTTGTTTTAGCTGATTGGAGGCTTCCTTTTAAGACAAACTGTATGTGATTAAGTTGTTTTAAGGGAACTGAAGAAGTTGATGTAACCCCTGGCCAGATAACACTGTATCTGATTTCTCAGATACTATTTCTCTGGGAAACATTCTACATAGCACAGGAGCTTAAGAGTGGCATTATCTTCTTGCCTTAATTTCCAGAGATTATTTCTGTACTGAGAGTCCTGGAACTACTATGCTAGGAAATTTAAAGCCGCATGGTCTGTCTTGTTTTCATTTAATTATTGTGAACACCTAGAATCTTTCTAGGTCCTGATTTCTCTTGCTTAATCCAGTCTTTATCTCTAACTGCCGCTTATTTGATCACCATGTACTAGGGGCTCTGAGAGCCAGCTCAGCTCCTGATCCTTGAGGCAGCATCCTTTTTCTATTTGAACTTCAGTTTTGTCCTTGAATCCTGACTAGATATTTCTTGCCCTCTGGTCTCAGAATTCTCTTGGCTTTTATTCGTTGATCCACTTGCCAGTTTTATCACTTTACCCTTGTTCCTCATGACTTCCCATCAAGCCATGGGTATTAGGTGACAGTGTAATTTATTAAATTCTGATTTTGCCCAAATACTAGGCATGCTTTAATAACAACTGAACCTTTTCATTATTTGGATAGGCATGGGTACCTTATCAAGCAGATTAAAAGGATATGGTACCTGTCCTTTAGAAAAGAACAGCTAAAACCTTGTTGTGGATTATGGATTTAGCATAAAGAAAAATAATCCAGCACAAATTAAGAGTAAGAGGGAAGATTAATAGAAATTTCACTTCACATAACTTAAAACATGGCTATTTCAATAAATGAAACTAAAGTTTCTCCTGGATCCCAGAATTCAACCTGTATTTATAAATGTATAATGTATTTAGCTACTTTTTGGTTTAAATGAACTTGTTGGGTTAGCTTGGTAAATGTTACAATTTTTACTATTTTCTACAGAGAAAATATTTTCTAATTTAAGTTGGAGCTATCTGTGCAGCAGTTTCTCTACAGTTGTACATAAATGTTTTTACTATAAAATGAGCTAATGTATAAAATACTACTCTATACCATAATAAAGATAGTAATACTTGATTTTGGTGGCTTTTGTTTTCTAAAATGAAAATAGCTTGAAATATTTATTATAAAAATAATAAAAGCTAGATATAAAAATCTAAAGAGAAAAAAAAAACCAGTCACCCTTATCTAATATTTTAGTGAGCAGTCTTCCACATATTCTTTTATAAAATTGGAATCATTTGATTTCGTGAATTGCTTTTCCCCCCTCAACATGTTGTGCACAATTTTGTACAGGCCTACATGGACATGTTTGATGACTACATGTTATCTTGTATAGATATGCCACTACACATTTAACCAGTACTTGATGGCCATGCTGGTTATTTCTAATTTTTCACCATTATAAACAACCCTAAAGTTAATATCTTCATATACGTGTTTGCATACTTGTCTGTCACCTTAGGATACATTTACTAAAGGTAGAACTGCAGCTTTGAACTCCTGGGCTCAAGTTATCCTCCCTCTCAGCCTCCCAAGTAGCTGAGACTACAGGTGGGTACCACCAAACCTGGATAATATTTAAATTTTTTATAGAGGTGGAGTCTCATTCCGTTGACCAGGCTGGTCGTGAACCCTTGGCCTCATGCAATCGTCCTTCCTTGGCCTCCCAAAGTGCTGGGATTATAGTGTGAGCCACCATGCCTGGCCTCTTCTAATTACCTGTCGTGAGATGGATCTCTAGTCATTGCATTATGGTTTATGTATTTAATATGTTTAGTGTTTTCCCTATACCAGGGCATGGATTTTTGTCTTTTTTTGAGATAGGGTCTCTATCTGTTACCCAGGATGGAGTGCAGTGGCATGATCATAGCTCATTGCAGCCTTGAACTCCTGGGCTCCAATAATCCTCTTACTTCAGTCTCCCACAGAGCTAAGACTATAGGCATGTGCCGTCACACCTGGCCAATATTTCTTTAAAAATGTTTTTTGTAGAGCTGGGGATCTCACCATATTGTCCAGGCTGGTGAATTTTTGTCCATTTTTTACTGCTGAATTTCCAGCACCTACAACAGTGCCTGGCAAATAACAGACACTCAATAATGAACAAGTGAACAAATTTTTTTTTTTTCTTTTTGAGGCAGGGTCTCTGTTCCCCAGGCTGGTCTTGAAAGCCTGGGCTCAATCAATCCCATGACCTCGGCCTCCCAAAGTGCTAGGATTACAGGTAGGAGCCACCGCGCCCAGCCCAACTCATTTTAAATGTACTGGGAAATGCATTGATAGGAGGCCAAACCGGCAACAGGACTGCCTGTTAGAAGTAATCAGATGATGGCCTAAACTAATGGAGATAAAAAGATGTACACAGAGCTCTTTAGTAGGTGGACTAAGCAGTACTATTTGGTTTTAGGTTTAATGACAGAAAAGGCCTGGTGCGGTGGCTCACACCTGTAATCACAGCACTTTGGGAGGCCAAGGCAGGCAGATTATTTCAGGTCAGGAGTTCGAGACCAGTATGGCCAACATGGTCCCACCATCTCTACTGAAAATACAAAAATTAACCAGGTGTGGTGATGCACACCTGTAATCCCAACTACTCAGGAGGTTGAGGTTGCAGTGAGCCGAGACCATACCAATGCACTCCAGCCTGGGCAACAAAGCAAGACCCCATCTCTACAAAAAAAAAAAAAAAAAAGTACAGGAAATCAGCCTGGTGGATGGTGGTGCCATTCACTGACATGTAGAATTGCAAATGTGGCAAAATTGGTATGGGAAGGAAGGGGCATGTGAAGAGGAAGATCATACATTTAGACTTGAACATACTGATACACAGCAGCTATTGAAACATTCAGGTGTGATTGTTCTAGCTGGATGTTGGATATTCCAGTCTGGAACTCTGGAGAGCCATCTGGCCTGGAGACAAAGTGGGAGTGAGGAGCACATGTAATGATAGACTTGGAAATGGATGAGATCTCCCAGGGATAAGGTTTAGGAAGGAATTTTTAGGAGCATTAACACTTAAAGGATAGATGTTTAATTTTATTTATTCTTCAGAATAATTCTGTAGAGGTAAGTAGTAGTATCATTCAGATTTTACTATGGGAAACCTGAAGCTTAAAAAAGTTTAACTTGTCAATTAAGAAAGCAGGTCAATCTGAGGTTCAAATCATATGTATATGAACTTCCAAAATCAATGCTCCTTTGTACGTCTCAAAGCACTTTACACAACTGGTGCGTAATAGTTAAAATCTTATCTCACCCCTCCCCATTTGACTTGATAACTTAGGAAGGTAAAAGGCATGAGGTGGCTTTCACAGCTGTGGGACTTAGCTCTTGTTACCTTGGGCAGTTGTACAGATTCCTACAACCTGTATTTCAGGGTTGAAGTGAAAGTATTTGACTATCACTGAGTGTTTTGTGTATTTATGGCTCTCGATCAAGATATTATATGTTGATAATAATCAGCTCTCGGCTACATTTCAATCTTTTTTTTTCTTTTAGTTTACTTTAAATTCTGGGATATATGTGCAGAACGTGCAGGTTTGTTACATAGGTATACATGTGCCATGGTGGTTTGCTGCACCTATCAACCTGTCATCTAGGTTTTACGCCCGCATGCATTAGGTATTTGTTGTATTTTTTTTTTTTTTTTTTTTGAGACGGAGTCTCGCTCTGTTGCCCAGGCTGGAGTGCAGTGGCCGGATCTCAGCTCACTGCAAGCTCCGCCTCCCGGGTTCCCGCCATTCTCCTGCCTCAGCCTCCCAAGTAGCTGGGACTACAGGCGCCCGCCACCTCGCCCGGCTAGTTTTTTGTATTTTTTAGTAGAGACGGGGTTTCACCGTGTTAGCCAGGATGGTCTCGATCTCCTAACCTCGTGATCCGCCCGTCTCGGCCTCCCAAAGTGCTGGGATTACAGGCTTGAGCCACCGCGCCCGGCCAGGTATTTGTTCTAATACTCGTGTTTTCTTTTTTTCTGAGGCAGTCTCGCTCACTGTAACTTCCACCTCTTGGACTCAAGCGATCCTTCCACCTCACGCTCCGTGGTAGCTGGAACTACAGCCGCGCGCCACCACACCCGGCTAATTTTTTTAAAAAATTATTGTAGAGATGGGTCTTGCTATGTTGCCCACTCCAGTAGGCATCCCAAAATGTTACTGGCATTGCAAAATGTTGGGATTACAGATGTGAGCCGCCACGCCTGTCCTTTTTTAAAAAAGAAAGTTTTATCCAGTGACAGGCTGGGGTATATACACTTAATGTCTAAAGGTTTTTGCCTTTCAGTTCATATCAACGCGAGTAGAGTTAGCTAGCTATGTTTGTAAAAAATATTTCGGCATGCTTCGTTAAAGTAAGCTCATATTAAACATTTATATAAATCCATCCTCACAGGGTCAATCTAGAGATAAACTCTCCGCTGCAGGGGGCGGGGAAGGAGGCGGGAACACCCTCATTGACAACTTCATTTCCATGAGAATGGTTGTTGTGGTGATTGCTACGTCTTCCCATTGGCCACTGCCGAGCGTATTGCGGTTCTCCGGACGGGTTTTATTGGTTCTCGTTCCATAGCGGCCGCAACGTGCCGAGAGCCGTAAGTAAAGTGTCGCAAAGCAGAAGGAAGGCGGGAGTCCCGACTGCAAACATTGAGGAAAGCCAGGCAGTAGAGGCCGCTATGGCGAACGTTCCGTGGGCAGAGGTCTGCGAGAAATTCCAGGCGGCGCTGACCCTGTCGCGGGTGGAACTGCAAAAAAATCCGGAGAAGGAACCGTACAAGTCCAAATACAGCGCCCGGGCCCTGCTGGAAGAGGTCAAGGCGCTGCTCGGCCCCGCGCCTGAGGACGAGGATGAGCGGCCTGAGGCCGAGGACGGCCCGGGTGCTGGTGACCACGCCCTGGGGCTGCCGGCTGAGGTGGTGGAGCCCGAGGGGCCCGTGGCCCAGCGGGCGGTGAGGCTGGCGGTCATTGAGTTCCACCTCGGGGTGAACCACATCGACACGGAGGAGCTGTCGGCGGGGGAGGAGCACCTGGTGAAATGCCTGCGGCTGCTGCGCCGGTACCGACTCTCGCACGACTGCATCTCCCTCTACATCCAGGCGCAGGTGAGAGCGAGCCCGGCAGGCCGGCCCCTGTCGACGAATGGCGAGGGATGGGGAGGAGCCCCTGCCAAGGCCAAGGGCAGAAGTTCTAAGGCGCAATTCGTCCCCACGTTTTTGAAGCTCTGGACTGAGTCCCAGAGAGCGTCTGTGGTCTTCAAAAAAGCCAGTCTTAAGGACGTATTGCCTTGTAACTAGATCTCCCACAGTCGTCCCCAGACTCCCTGTCCACCCTCGTCGCCCACTCCAGCATCGCTTGCTGCTGCTTCACTTAGTCGTGGCGATGCATTGGTGTCCGAGACCCTCCTACATCGTCATGCGCTTTCCTCTCCACCAGTCCAACTCCTGTTCATTCTGTTAAGAAAATCCAAAGTAATTTAAATCTTAACGTCTCAAGGAAATGATAATGACCGGAGTACATTCTTTTTTGGTTTTGTTTTTGTCTTTTTCTTGGAGATAGGGTTCTTACTGTGTCGCCCAGGTTGGAGTTAAGTGGCACCATCATAGCGCACTGCAGCTTCCACCTCTTGGGCTCAAGCAGTCCTCCTGCCTCAGCCTTCATAGTAGCTGGGACCACAGGCACATGCCACCATTCTTGGTAATTTTTAAAATTTTCTGTAGAGATGGGGGTCTCACTATATTGCCCAGGCTGGTCTTGAACTCCTGGACTCAAGTGATCCTTCTGGCTCGGCTTCCCAAAGTGCTGGGATTACAGGCCTGAGCCGCTGTGCCTGGCTCGTAATACATTCTTAATTCAAAATAATGTGTCCAAAATCTTCAGTTTCCTTTCTTACCAAATTCATTTGTTTGCATCTTAGGGAATTCTTTCCCATTCTTGAAAACCTATCTCAAGAATCACTTCCTTTAGTATTAATAACTTTCTTGGGACCATTTTGAGCCAAACTGATCTCTCCTTCCTACCTTTGAATTCTTATAATACTTTTTGTATATACCATTTATATGGTACTTGATTTATTAAATAAATCTG